AGTATTTTAGATATATTACCAAAATGTGAAGCAAGTGATAAAAATATTCTACTTCAACTAATTGGCAATATAATAAATAATATGTTATATGATGATTTAACAGATGTCATAGATAGACTTCCCCAATTTTTTGACCTTATATTAGATAGTACTTTGGCTAATCAGGTTTTGATGGTGCTTATGAGAATAGCAGAGAAAAGGCCATCGGCTTTTCACGAATATATAGATTTGCTGATTTTAACCGCTCAAAAGCTTCCAAATACTATTTGCCTAATTGGACAAATTTTAGCAGCCGTTGGCAAGAAAAATAAGGAAAAGGCTTCAATAGCATTGGATTTCATATTAGATAATCTCGCTAATGTTGATCACCGATCTTCGCAAACAATTATTTTGCAAGAAGCTGTAAAATTATGCTCATTCTATCCAGTCTTATTTAATGACAAATTAACAGCTGCAATAAGGCAACATACAAATCAGAAAACCAATTCTCAAACTAAATTATCTGGCAATAATGTAACGATAGTAAACTTAAATTCTACAATGATTCCTTTACGTACATCAACATCACAAAATCAAGTTGTGTCCTTAAAATCACAAGTTTCAACTACATACATCAACAATCAAACTTTGGGAAATAAGAATAGCCCATTTAATGCACCGTATTATTCCAGAAAACAAAAATTAGATTCAAGATCAACAGGGCGCTTAAATAATAATAATAATAATAATAATAATAGTCTGATTTCAACAAACCGATCAATGACAAAATTAAATTCTAATGGGAATAATTCAAACAAAAGTATGACGAGATTATCTTCATCTCAACATATTCATCAATCACAAAGTGTTGTTTCAAATATTTTAACATCAAACAATATTGACAATAATCCATCAACACAGCCATCTTTGGTGCCACCACCTTTAAGCCAGCATGTAATTTATGCATACACATTTTTTTCGCAATTTCTAATTTCTTCTTTTTTACATATTTAATAGGTTGCAATAATAGGAGAAAATAAATGGGGAATACCAAGCATCAAAAGTATAGCATCCGGTGGTGTTATCTTACAACATCATACATCTCCAAACAAGATCAGACCCTTTTCAATGACAGCCAATGGGTTCAGTTCCTTAAACCATTCAACTGGAAGTATTAGTAATCATAATAATGTTGTTTTTATACAAAACAATAACATCGGTCACAGTAACACGACGTCTACATCAATTTCTCCTAAAATGACAAGAGATTCAAGCAATATGGACTCTCAAGTTATTAATAATGGCCCAGCCAATTCGAAGAAAAGTACCAATCATAATAAATCTGTTACATTACTAAACATCAATAATAATAATAATAATAATAATAATGTTAATCATCGTATGAGCGTTTTTGAACCATGCGGAATGCGAGACACAATTCTTCATTTTTGCGAAAAGCATCTTGATAAGATCAAGGCATATATGAAATCAGTATCAAATCGACTTCCACCAGCTTGTAAAATAACAATAGAAGAACGAAGATCAAAAAAATTTGCGAAAATTCATTTCGCTTGCCAGTCCCGTTCTAATTCACACTGCTTATATTCCAAGACATTCTTTAGTATGAGAACGCGATTCCCGAAAACTTGGGTGCATCTAATGTTTCTAGATTTACAATCACGAGTTTCAAATTCCGCTCTAAGTTCATACGATCCTGCTGTTTCTAGTTTAAAGCACTGTTGGGATACATTGAAGATTGAAAATAAGACATTTATAACATTGATAACATCAGGTATTTATAATGTTTTTGAAAAAAGACTTTAAAATTTTAATTTTAAAAACTTTTTTAACAGCTTTTCCCGTTACTCGCGATCAAGATGCATTAATTAATGAACTGAGAAACTCTGGATTTTTTGATGTGTTTGAAGTTGGACCGTCTTTAAATTTAAGCAACAATAGTTCATTAAGTCTAATAGAAGATCAAGTTCGATGGGGCTGTTTTTTGTAAGATATCACTAATTGATTTTTTTATTTTCAATCCTTTTTGCATAGATATATTATTTGTTGTTAAAGGAGCGAAACTAAAATACAATATACAATGTACATTTTAGAGTCCAGAGTTTTCCAATTTATTCAATTCTATTTGATTGATTTATCTATTTTATTAAAATCTTAAGATTCAGTAATAGAATTTTTAATCAACATTTTAGATGCAACCATCCAGAAAAGGCAATGTTTTTAGAAAATAATGCGCAACCAGTAATAGAAGGTCAACTAAAAGAAAAGAAAGGAAAATGGAGACTATTTAAGCGTTGGCGCACACGGTATTTTACCTTATCTGGTGCACATTTGTCATGCAAAAATTCGGTATTAATTTTTTTTATTAAATTAAAAGATTATAGAATAACAGTAATATTTTTTTTAAAGAATGGAAATGCTTGTACTCTTGATATAAATCAAATAAGAAGTGTTAAGGTACAACGAGGCGCTAGAAACATTCCAACGTGTTTTGAAATTTTTGCCGAAAACCAGACATTGATTCTTAAACCAACTGATGGCGAAAAGGCTGAAGAATGGGCTCAATATTTAAACATAGTTTTAGCTAAACAAAGAGATGGATGTAGAAATAAGGCAAACACTCTAGGTTCTCGACGTGAAATATAAAAAAATATTTTTAAAGTTCAATAAAATTGAATTTTTTTATCTATTCATAAAATTTGCAAACTTAATAATATAAAATTAAATGAATATAATTTTAAAAAAAATGTATCCATATTTTATTTTGCCAAAATGAAAATCCTTGAAACGATTTTTCTACAAATTGAAACGATTTTAAAATACTAATTTGTAGATAAATTAAAAGTAATTTTTTCTTCATTCCCGCATGTTGAAAATGTTGAAAATCAAGCTACCAACCCACTATGGGGCAGAATTGAAAAAAAGGGACTTTCACTTCGAAAAAGACAATGTTTCGAATTACTATCTCAAGTAGATTTTTTCTTGTAGAGGACATAAAAATTGACTTCTATTCCAAATTTCAGGTCATTTGGTGCTATTTTTGCGAATCTATGGCTGTTTGAAATTGAAAATGGGTGAAAAATCTGGTTTTTTGATGTCACATTAGAACTGGTAAATCTCCGCAATGGTTAGAGATATTGAAAAAAAGTTTTCAGTTCCTAAAAGTTTCATATAATAGCTTTATTTTAATGTATATCAAAGTTTAAAAATTTGATGTTTTGGTACCGATGTAGTTGAAAGTGTATAAAATCCTAGGAAAAATATCTTTGTGCAGGCATAACTTTTTTCTGTCAACCCTTATACCAGACAAAAACCACACCATTAAACAGCCACTGATATTTAGTTTTTATAACTGTATAAACATTAAAATAATGTTTGCACCGTTGTGAGAAAAGTTGATTTGAGTAAATCGACAAATATTTTGCCGAAAACGAAAATTTCTTATAAATAAAACAAAACAATAATTAAAAATTAGTTCTTGGTATTTTTCAATGACAAACAATATTTAAAGACAACTTGTGAAGAAATGTTATCAAAAAGTTCAAAATTTGTCGATATATAGGGTACTTTTGATATCTGACGATTTGTATGTTTTTTTCATCACTTAAACCACTAGTACTCTTAGAAAATCAAATATTTTTGAATTTTGTTTTCAATTTTTTGTAGCTTAAGTCAGTACCTTTCTAATTATGCATAGTACTTGACAATTGACTTTGATCTTGGTCATGAATATGAGGCTTGTTTGTGAGCGACCCTAAACTAGAAAAAATCTCAAAAACGTCATTTCTAGAAATATTGTTTGTCATTGAAAAATACCAAAAAACTTATTTTTTATTATTGTTTTGTTTTATTTATAAGAAATTTTCGTTTTCGGCAAAATATTTGTCGATTTACTCAAATCAACTTTTCTCACAACGGTGCAAACATTATTTTAATGTTTATACAGTTATAAAAACTAAATATCAGTGGCTTTTTAATGGTGTGGTTTTTGTCTGGTATAAGGGGTGACAGAAAAAAGTTGTGCCTGCACAAAGATATTTTTCCTAGGATTTTTATACACTTTCAACTACACCGGTACCAAAACATCAAATTTTGAAACTTTGATATACATTAAAATAAAGCTATTATATAAAACTTTTAGGAACTGAAATTTTTTTTTCAATATCTCTAACCATTGCGGAGATTTACCAGTTCTAATGTGACATCAAAAAACCAGATTTTTTACCCATTTTCAATTTCAAACAGCCACAGATTCGCAAAAATAGCACCAAATGACCTGAAATTTGGCATACAATTCTATTTTTATGTCCTCTCCAAGAAAAAATCTACTTGAGATAGTAATTCGAAATATTGTCTTTTTCGAAGTGAAAGTCCCTTTTTTTTCAATTCTGCCCCATAGTGCAAAGTGTAGCACAAATCTAATTCAAATGTAATTAAATAATTTGATTTTAAGAATTCAATCAGTTTAAGTTAAGTCAGGATTTACAATTTTAATTAATTCAGTCTCTTCAATAAAGAATGACATTATTGTCATTATTATTGAAATATGAAAAAGGAGTTAAGTAAAACATTTAAATAATAATATACTTTAAAAATAATATTTCTTCCTTAAAAAGACTGATTAAACATAAATAAAAACAATGAATCATTTCATTAAATTTCTCAAAAGACAACTGAGTTGACTTAGATAAATTTTACAAAAATTCAGCTATTAAACTAATTTTCCCAATAAATGATTTTTTTAAAAAAAGCTAATGCTATTACACTAGTTGTTTATAACAGTTTACAATAGGGGGCAGAAAGCAAAATTGAAAGTAAATACTAGGTTCTGTTGCTATATTTATAAAATATTATGCATAAACATTTGTTTTATACGATTCGATTTATTTTTTTGACGTTTTTTCCTTCTATAATATAACAAATTTGAAGAGCTTTAATACAAAAATAATTCAATAATAAGAATTGGTTGCTAAATTATTGAGTCAAAAAGTAAAACAAGTTTAACATTGTTTTATTAATCCAAAAAAAAACCGCACCCAAAAAATAACAAAAAATGAACAAGTTACTTTTGTCATTAATTTTCTGCTCAATCTCTATTTATTCAGGTAAGTTTTTAAATGTTTTATTTTTAACTAAAATAATAATTTCTTTCAGCGTAAAAATTTACTTTATTTTAAAATAAATTTAAAAAATCATATCCAAGTTCCATTTCAATGAAAAAATTAACAGAGAAAACTAAAGACTCAATTATAAATAGATGCTTACAAAATAATAACTAGTGATTTTGAATTCTATTATCAGTGACATCAATAAAATGTTATGTTTGTAATTCAACCGATACTTCACAACCTTTTCAATGCAGTGAATGGTTTGAACGTTATGATCGTCCAGACATTCAGCCTGTAGATTGCTCTGCAGTACATGGTGCAAAATACTGCATCAAACATATTGGACGATTTGAAGGTTTTTAAAAATTTCCGTAATTTTGGATTAAAACTAACATGGTACTTACTAGGGGCATGGTTAATAAATTTAATAACAATAAAAAATCCTACACTTGGACATATTTTTATTTTTTTTATGTTTTATTGATCGTTTACTAACAATTTTTGAAGTTTTAGCAATTAAATGCTTCCAATGTAAATCTTCTGAAACGATCGAATGCTCTGATTTGATGATTAACATGCATGATGCAAAATTAAAGCCCGAATCATGCGACCACGTATTTGAGGCTCAATATTGCATTAAATCAACATCACTTGAAAGTATATAACAATTACTAACAATTATTAACTGCACATGTTTTTTATACACTTCTTTCTTGCTTAAATTTGTTTATTTTTTTTTTGAAAACTTCAAATTAATTGAAATAAAACACTTTAAAACACATTTTAATTTCTATCTTTTATCGTTTTTATTAATTAATAACAATTGATATAAATTTTTACTTTTAGGTGGCATCGGAGCAATTAGATATTGCTCTTCAAGAGATTTGGGCAACTATTGTAACGATGTTAAGAATAAAGGAGATGAGCTAGAATATCGATCTTGCATTTTTACATGTGAAACAGATGGATGTAACACAAGTTCATTTATTAAGATCCCATTAGGCTTGTTACTAACAGTATGCATCTTAAAGTTTCTAATATTATAAATCTTTGCTCCGTCTACAATATCGCAACACAAGTCCGTCCCGTATAAATTAAATAATTAATAAAAATAGAAATTATGTCTTAAGAAAAATTAAAACATTGCATAAAATCATAAGTGTATGGATTAAAAAATAAATTGGAATGATGTTTTTTTAAAAATTAAAATAACTGTCTATAAAATTATGAAAAATAATCGAAAACAGATCAGATATTTCTATAGCACACAAATGAAAACTTACACACGATCGAAAAGTTAAGTTATTAATATTTTTATAAAAGCAACATGTGAGTGTAATATTTTTTCAGTTTTAGAGAATGTGTGTTTACGTGGGTTTAAATAATTATTTGGATTTAACCATCTACTTCAGTGTGTTAGTTTCACACAACAACTTCAGTGTATTTTATTATTAAAAAATTCTTTATACAATTCACACTTTTAATTGATGAGTTTTCTTAATTTAATAGTTTTATGTAAAGACTTTTTTTATAAAGTCTTTGAAAATTTAAAATCAATCATTAATCAAAAAGCATAATATTGGATACGTTTAAATTCTCTTAAAAAATCAAATTAAAAACTGTATACTAAAGAATGACAAAGTAAACTACAATAAAATTTTCTCGATTTAAAGTTATTAAAAATTCTGATCGTAAGTAATGTTTTTATTTATCTATCATTAATCTTAAGATCGTTAGTTTCATGATGGCTTAAACATTATTTTTTCATTATAATAATTTCATGTTCTCAAACAAAACTCATTAGATGTCAGAAACAACAAAAACAAAATCAGAAATGCATCAAAACAACAATAATAATAATTCGTCTATCCAGTTAAATAGTTTAACACGTCAAAATTTGGTCAACTCTTCTAAAAGCTCCACACAGGTAAACCCATATAAACAATTTTCAGAATGATTAAGTAAATGCACCGAACAATTTATATGTAAATAATCTGTAGATTTGCCAATTATTATGTTTACTTTTTTAAATTCGTCACAAATTCGTCACAAATTCGTCACCTATTCATTCACATATAGATATATAAATATACATTTGTGGTTATAATGATGATTCACAAAAATATGTAAAGTAGCTTAAAAGCGAAATGACGATTCTCATATTTATTTTCAGTTGAAAATTAACTCTCGAACGATCAAGTATCTTGAATCGCGAACGAACGAAAATAAATATAAATATATACGATTAAAGTTAAATCTTACAAATTTCTAAAATAAAAAAAAAATATTTTTTAGTTGTTTTAAATCGAAAAGGATCAATAAAAAAAATGAAAAGCGAGCCTTTAAATAATAAGAAAAAGACGGTAGGTCATAAACAAATTTTAAGTATGAATCACAACTCCAAAACGAACATATTTTATATTTTGAAGCAAATAAGTCGTTTTTTTAAAAAATATTTTACTTATATAAAAAAAAATCGTTTCTCTAGTCATTCTAAGTGCATCATTTTGTATGATTTAAGATTTTCTTATTCCGAGTGTAGGTGGGTGTCTTGTCATACAACAAATATTAGAGACACTAACATTGAAGTATTTTCTCTGAATATTTCTACACAAAAAAACATACATATTTGTTTGTTGACATTACTGAAAAGTATGAAATTGCTTTGTATATCATATATAAATAATAAACATAAACTGTTAAGGGATTATCTTACAAACTTCATTCTTTATTTTCTTAAATTCTTAGGTTTTAAACAGCTCATCAGCCTCATCGTCTTCTTCTCGCATTGCAAAGACAACATCTTCACAACGTCTCCATCATATTACATCTAGTAGTTCAACATCTTCAACGCAATCACAAACGATTTCATCTGGCAATGTTGGCAGCGTGGTGGTGAATCCACATGTTTTACAGCGGGATCTAAATGAATTTAAGAACTCTATGAGTGAGATTAACAATCTTGCATCGAGATCCACAATGACAAATATTCAAAATAAGTAAGTATAAAAATAATACAGTATAACATATAATAATTTTATTAAATTTTTTTTTAGAATTCGGTCTTCCCTTGAAAATCTTGTAGACGACTCCGAGCCAGTTGTTACTTTCCCAGATGAAAATAAAGTAAATGAATTGCATAGCGATTTAACTTCAGATGAAAATCTTGAAAACACTCGATTATCCTTAGTAGATAGAATGAAATATGAAGAAAAACGTACAATGAATACTTCAAAAACCAAGTTTTTATCAAATGGATTTAGTAGTGAGCAAGTAAGTAAAACTTTTAAAGTAAAGCAAACAAACCTAAAGATTTAAATAATTCATTTTTTATAAAACAATACACGAAAATATTTTACTAAAAGTATCATTAGGCTTTAAAAATATTTCTGACAATTAATAACAAAAACTTCATTTTAAGGCAATGACAAATGCAGCAGAGATGAAGAAATTACAAACAAATGATTTAGAATTTAAAGAAGCAAAAGCAATTACAGCTGTAAAAAATCGATTTGAAATGGATGGATTAAAAACGGAGGAGGCAAATGCTGTGGTGCAGGTTAGTTAAAATATAGAACCTTTGTAACGTTATATTCAAATGTATAACAGAAAACATAAGTTTTTTGGATCGATAAATGTGCGTGACTTTTTTACCCTCTATTTTTTCGTCGAGCTAAAAGTTCAAACTAAATTTTATTTTATAAAAGGAACAGTGAAAAATTCAAGGATTGAATTTTAAAAATATTTTAAAATTTGGATGTTGTTTGTTTAAAAATATGACAAAAGCTTTGTCAAAAAAACAATGTTATCAAATTTTCTCCGTTGTCGTCATTCAACAAGATTTTCACCAGTTATTCTCAAAATAATATCGGTAAATAAATGAAAGATTGTTTTTTAAAATATATGTTACATTAAAATTCAAAAAGGTTTTTCATATTCATAACATTTTATGCAAAGAAATTGTAGATTTTCTTAAATGAAAGCATATCTATAGCAAAGAGTAAATGTTCATTTACTAATAATAAAATAAAAATAGCTTTCGAATGTTCTCCTTGGTATTCTCTAAATGAAATATATTTAAAAATATTGTAAATTTCCTAAGAATCGTGAATCATACTAAGCTTTTATTTATTTAAAAATCAAAGAATAAAATGTCCAATGTATATGTGTATAGTAGTAGTTGTAAATTACTAACTTTCATTTTATCATGATTTTTACGAGAAATTTTAGTTGCATCAGTTGCTTTGACAAGTAATTGTTTTAACAAAATATTCTCAAATACAGTATAATACTATCTAAGAATCTTTAAGAATGATATAAGTAAACGTTTGATGATTGTATAAAAATATGTATTAAGAATTCAAAAACGCTCTCACATGTTTATTTTATACAATTCAGTTGTAGAAAAGATTTGCTACATTTTGGGATTTAAATTTAGAAACAGAAGATAATATTGAGTGATTTTTTTTTCTTCATCACGAAAAAGAAAGAAATTTCTCAGTAACTTTTTGTACTTAAAGTAAAAAAGATGTTTTAAAATTATTATTCTTTAATTAAATGTGAACAAAAATTAAGTTGTAAATTGAGTGAAGATGTCAAATGATGGTTCACATTATAAGCCCTGGAAAGTAAGGAAGGGCATATTTAAGTCTACAGGCACATCAGATTATGAATTACCAAAACGAGACACACCCAGTCCCATTGTAGAAATGCCATTATCTCCACCGCCCTCTAAAACAATAAAAAATCCTTTATCTCCAGTTTCTACACATATTACTATAATTGAAAGTCCTTTAACATTTTCACCTACAAATTCTTCAACTCTCCAACCAATTTTACATAGGACAATACGCGAAATACCAATTGATAGAAGTGATGAGGTGAGATAAGAATAATAAAAATAATTTTTGGCGAACATATATTAATTGAACAATAAATTCAGAATATTATAACTTATGATGTTTATATTTAATTCATGTCAAAAGCGAGCAATTTACAGTGTAATTTACAAAAACTACTTTTACGTAATAATCAATTTTTGTTTTTAGTAAAATTTACACATTGGTCTTTAGCACGTACCTTATTGAACCCTTGCATTTATTTTATGATCAAAATTTAATTGTTTTTACACGCCTGTTTTTCATTGTTGTCATAAAAATTTTCTAGGAAGCACGTTCAATTAAAGCAGGAGACTTTCAACAAAAGGATTCAAATAATATTGAGGCATTGAGTTTTAAAGTTCAACATGAACAATTTAGTGCAGAGAAAAGAGCTATGAAGCAAGCTCAACAAAGTCAAACAAAAACTTCGGCAGGAATTTATAATCAAGAACAAATACATCATAAATCACAGATGTCGTATAACAGTAGCAGTATGATAAGCCAGTCTTCTCAATACAGTACTTCAACTAACAACGGTTCATGGGATCTCGAAATGTCACAAAATTTTGATGATCTAGAAAACTTGTCTTCAACAAGCAATCCATTAGATGTTGAGCAAGCAATTTTAAAGTATTCGCAACATGTGAACATGTGTGTAAGACAATTATGCTTTATCGGAAAGGCATCTGAAGCTTTAGAGAAACTAAATGAAATTGTTCGTAGAGCGTGGGCAGTTCGTAAGTTTTATTATCGTTTGTGTTTCATATTGCAATATCAAAAAATTTAAATTAATTTTAGCAACTCATGGTCATGAACTTGGTGCAAGCTTATGCAATGCACTCAAACAAAACGGTGGATTAGATATTTTGATGAAAAACTGTATGGAAGGAGACGAAGATCTTCAATTTTCTTCAGCACGTTTACTTGAGCAATGCTTAACAACAGAAAACAGAGCTCACGTTGTAGAGAATGGACTTGAAAAAGTAGTCAATGTAGCTTGTGTTTGTACTAGAAACTCACAGACAGCGAGTGATCAATTAAATCGATCTCGAGTAGGAACAGGAATCTTGGAACATCTTTTTAAACACAGTGAAGGGACTTGTTCGGACGTAATCAGATTAGGTGGTCTTGATGCAGTGTTGTTTGAATGCAGAAAAAATGATATTGAGACATTGAGACATTGTGCAACAGCCTTAGCTAACTTATCTCTCTATGGAGGTGCAGAAAATCAGGAAGCAATGATAAACAAAAAAGTTCCAATGTGGCTTTTTCCATTAGCGTTCCATGACGATGATAATATTAAATATTATGCATGTTTGGCAATTGCAGTTCTTGTTGCTAATAAAGAAATTGAAGCAGAAGTATTGAAATCTGGAACTTTGGATTTGGTAGAACCATTTGTGTTATCTCATAATCCGTATGAGTTTGCGAAATCCAGTTTATCACATGTGCATGGCCAAAGTAAACATTGGCTTCAAAGATTGGTTCCTGTTTTAAGTTCAAAGCGCGAAGAAGCAAGAAATTTGGCTAGCTTTCATTTTTGTATGGAAGCAGGAATAAAAAGACAGCAAGGTAATACTGAAATTTTTCGCGAAATCGGAGCTATAGAGCCCCTTAAAAAGGTTGCTAGTTGTCCAAATGCGATTGCATCTAAATTTGCAGCACAAGCATTAAGATTAATAGGAGAGACTGTTCCTCATAAACTTTCTCAGCAAGTGCCATTATGGTCTATTGAAGACGTACGTGAATGGGTTAAACAAATAGGATTTGGTGAATATGAACACAGCTTTTTTGACGCTAAAGTAGATGGTGATCTCCTGTTGCAGTTAACAGAAGAAAATTTGCGAGAAGATTTGGGTATTAAGAATGGGATCCGAAGGAAAAGATTTGAGAGAGAGCTTCAAAATTTGAAGAAAATGGCAGATTACTCATCAAGAGATACAAGTAACATTAATAATTTTCTTCTGTCAATCGGTCCCGAATATTCAATTTATACTTACTCTATGGTTAATGCTGGAGTTGATAAAGAATCCCTTCGATCACTCAATGATGATCAATTGATTGCAGAATGCAGCATAACGAACTCAATTCATCGATCGAGAATTTTAAATGCGTTATCATTAATGGGAAATACATCAGAGCAACAAAGTGATGACAGTATGGATAAAACACTAGATGTGTTTGTTTCCTACAGACGTAGCAATGGATCTCAACTAGCAAGTTTGCTTAAAGTTCATTTACAACTAAGAGGTTTTTCTGTATTTATTGATGTAGAACGACTTGAAGCTGGAAAATTTGATAACAATTTACTACAAAGCATTAAACAAGCCAAACATTTTCTATTAGTGCTAACGCCTCGAGCACTAGAAAGATGTATAGAAGATCACGAATGCAAGGATTGGGTTCATAGAGTAAGTAATAAAACGTGTATTTTTGAGCTTAAGAAATCTCATTAAAAAAATCAACATTTTTACAGGAAATTGTAGCGGCATTAAATTCAAGTTGCAACATTATACCTATTATCGATAATTTTTGTTGGCCTGAACCCGAAAAACTACCTGAAGATATGAGAAATGTTTGCTATTTTAATGGTGTACGATGGATACATGATTATCAAGTAAGTATTGCAAAAATAAAACTTAACTTGTTTCTTTAATCAGTACATTATTTCTAAATCTTAAATAGGATGCTTGCGTTGATAAGCTTGAAAGATTTATGCGTGGAGAATTAAATATTAGAAATGTTGACACTCGGACTGGATTAGGAAGAGGAATTGATTTGACCGCACCTTCAACACCCGGAACAGCTTCATCGATGAGAACTAATCCTCCTAGCTATCAAAGGATGCATAGCAATGATTCAAATAAAGATTTAAAAGATGGTATAAACAATGGCAGGATTTCGGACTGACTAGATAACCATAATCTTCAAAGGTTACGAAATGCCGCTGGAAAAACTGCACCGGCATATTCTAAAAGATTAAAAAGAATTCAAAATTCAAAATCACCCATTAAATCACCATTAGTCAAACCAAACACAAAGTATTATGCTGATTGTAACACTTTATCTGCATCCAATCCGCTTGATAAACGTAGCCATAGTTTGGAAGGCTTTTTAGACTCATCGGAAATTCAACATTTTAATGACTCAACAGAAAATCTTGATAACAAAACTGACGTTTCAACCGAAACGTCCTATAATAGACGATCAAAAAGTTTAGATGACTTATTTAATGACAATTGCGTCATAGACGAAACTAAATCCATTGCATCAGAAAGTAATTGTGAACAAGAATTGCTTATTGTAGACAATTCTATGATTGATGATCATGGAGTAAATGAACAAAATAATTCATTAAACCAGGACTTAAATATTTTGAATGAAAATAATACAAAAAACTCATTTCTTGATAGATATTTCAAAAAGGTTAAAAAATTAATCAAATAGTTTTTTTTTAAATTTAAATCTAAAATATTTGTATAAATATAAATAATCAAAATGTAATTTGTCGTAAAAACAATTAGAGATAAATTTATTTTATGAATAATAGTTAACATATATTAACCTTTGAGGCCGTTCACTTATCACGTTACGCCTTTAGGGGGGAGGAGGGGGGTCTAAGATTTTGTTACCGTTCATACAGAGGAATATTTTTTTACAAGAAAGGGGGACGAGGGAGAGGGGGTCTAAAATGTCGTTTTTGCGTTACGTAATAAGTGAAAGGTCCCTTTTTAATATAATTTTTAAAAAGACTTTTTAATGTTTCAGCTTCATAGATAACCTATAAAATCCTCTCTTGAATTCGTTACTCAATTTGGACTTAAAATTATAAAATAAATCATTATTCTGTAATAAAACAAACGACAAAATACATACCATTAAATATAAAAATGATTTTATTATCTTTAAATTTAAATTGTATAATTTTACGGTAAATGACGATGTCCTGCGTAAACCTTTCTAAGCCACGTAAACCTTGGTTTAAGGAGGTGTTCTGTTCCAGAAAAATCCTGTTCAAATCGAATTATTTACTTTTTGTATGAAAAATGTCTGTTTGTATATTTTTTGTACAAAAAAATATTTTGAATTTTCTATTCATTAATTTTCGTTACTCAAGTCGAATCTACTCAAATCGAGGACCCGCAGTATAGAATATGAGCTTACAATAGCTACATGCTGACAAAATATTACACAGAATCATAGATGCTTTGCTAATGGCTAAAGTTAAATTCAAATGCTTGAAATGGTAGTTAAATGGCTCTTTTCTATCAAAAAAATCAAAAATTGAGTTAAGCCGAAAAAATCGGCTTCGATCTCTGCTTAGAATAAAACCGTCAATGCAATCTATTGTACAATACAAAGTCGAATTTATTTGCTTGGATAAATAATGACCCAGAGGGCGAAGCCGAGCTTAGTCGACTATAGTCGACTAAAATCGACTTAGCCGGTTTTAGTCGACTAAAGAATTAACGGTTTTTTCCTTAGTCGGCTATAGTCGACTAAAACCGGCTAAAGTCGACTAAAGCCGCGACTAAGATCGACTAAAGAAGGATTTTTTGGCTTGTGAAGTATAAAAATTTCATACAAAAATTCTCTTATTTTCGTCATTCAGGTTCGAATCTCAAAATATTTTTTGACTTTTTTAAACATTCAATTTGTATTATTAAAATTGTTTAAATCAAATATTATTAAATTAAAAAGATTAAAGTTGTAAAAGTATATTTTAAGTACTCATTCAAAATATTAGTTTTATTCATTTATGGAGTATTATAAGAAAAATAAAAAATAAAAATGTCATAAAAAGTGTCCTTTTAAAATACGAATGAAATAACATTCTATATTAAGGACTTAAGATATAGCCAGGATAACAAAAACATATTATTAAGTCATTATTAGTAGATTAATCTCATAATCTAAGTATGAATTAATCATTCTTGTTCAAGGATTCTAATAGGTACTCTATATTATGGTGCAGAAATAATATTCTATGAGCTCGTTCAGGATTTAAGGATGCTCTTTTTTGAGTCATTAATGAGTTTGATATTGAGAAATTACGTTCCGCCTCAGTACTCATAGGTTGAATAGCAAATAAAACTCTTGCTAAACGATACAACAAAGGCAAATCATCCATCCTTGTTAAACTATGAATACGTTTTAGAACGTTTGAATGATCATAAGCCGTTAAAAATTTGATTAGATTTCTCGTAAATATTCAAAAAAAAATGTTTGGTTAAATTATGATGCAATTTAATGCTTTAATGTAACTTAAGTCATTTTGAATCGTCAATTGTATTTTTAAAAACAGTTAAAACTTCTACAGTTCTGCATTAAGAGTGTTTTGGGTGCATAATGTGATGTTTTAAAATTTTGCAATTCAAAAAAAAAAAAAAAAATTCAAATTTGTACCATTAAAAATAAATTTTGGTAATTAAACTACCTATGGCTATGTTGCAATGAGTTTTGTCAAATAAGATATCAAAATAGATATGAACACGGTTAAACACAAAAAAATGTTTCAATGTCATGCTTAGATAAATTTCGAAAAAATTAAGCGTCTTTAGCAGTAATTTAATTAAGATTTTTTAGGTATCTACGATGTAAAGCACAATATTTTTAACATGCTGAGAAATTTAAAAAAGTCAAAAAATATTTTGAGATTCGAACCTGAATGACAAAAATAAGAGAATTTTTGTATGAAATTTTTATACTTCACAAGCCAAAAAATCCTTCTTTAGTCGATCTTAGTCGCGGCTTTAGTCGACTTTAGCCGGTTTTAGTCGACTATAGCCGACTAAGGAAAAAACCGTTAATTCTTTAGTCGACTAAAGCCGACTAAGTTTTAGTCGGTTTTAGTCGACTATAGTCGACTAAACTTCACTCGGCTTCGCCCTCTGTAATGACCAAATAATGTTGCTTATAATTGTCCTCAAAATTTAAATAATCCTTAATTTGAAGTAACTGATTACCCAAAGTACTTACATTTCCTGAGAATATGAAAAATTCCAATAATAATTCTTTCCTCGTTCTTCCTACAAAACTTGTACTTATTATCTAAACTTGATCTTAACTCAATATGTGCCAATAAAAATAAAGTTTAATTTAAATTGTAATGCTTCACAAGTGGCTTTTAATGAATTCAAAGTTTATTTAAAAGAATCTTTAAAAAACCTAATTTAACTAATTTAACACTTCGTAAAATCTAAATGAACAAATTTAAATGTTCCTATTCTACTATAAACAACATGCTAATCAGAAAAAATATTATAAATCAAAATAAAATTGATGATAAATCATTTCATGATGCAAATGATTTTAATAACGAAATAATTATCAAATTCAGGAGGAGATAGAAGATGAGGAAGTGCCAATAAGTCGATCAATTAGAAACAATGTAAGTCAACTACCTGAGTGACTGAATGATTATGTTGTGTATGTATCTAAAGATTGTTTTTAAATAAGTGGAAATAAGCATTGAATGAAGAATTGCAGTCAATAAACGAGAATGAAACTTGTACTTTGACTGATCTTCCGAGCAACAAGAAAGCAATAGGATGAGTGTATACATTGAAATTCGATGATCAAGGAAATTAATCCCGATAATCGTGCTTTAATCAGAGGGCGAAGCCGAGCTTAGTCGACTAAAGAATTAACGGTTTTTTCCTTAGTCGGCTATAGTCGACTAAAACTGGCTAAAGTCGACTAAAGCCGCATACAAAAATTCTCTTATTTTTGTCATTCAGGTTCGAAATTCAAAATATTTTTTGACTTTTTTAAACATTCAATTCGTATTATTAAAATTGTTTAAATCAAATATTATTATTAAATTAAAAAGATTAAAGCTGTAAAAGTATATTTTAAGTACTCATTCAAAATATTAGTTTTATTCATTTATGGAGTATTATAAGAAAAATAAAAAATAAAAATGTCATAAAAAGTGTCCTTTTAAAATACGAATGAAATAACATTCTATATTAAGGACTTAAGATCTAGCCAGGATAACAAAAACATATTATTAAGTCATTATTAGTTGATTAATCTCATAATCTAAGTATGAATTAATCATTCTTGTTCAAGGATTCTCATAGGCACTCTATATTATCGTGCAGAAATAATATTCTATGAGCTCGTTCAGGATTTAAGGATGCTCTTTTTTGAGTCATTAATGAGTTTGATATTGAGAAATTACATTCCGCCTGAGTACTCATAGGTTGAATAGAAAATAAAACTCTTGCTAAACGATACAGCATAGGCAAATCAAAGTTGATAAACTATGAATACGTTTTAGAACGTTTGAATGTTCATAAGCCGTTAAAAATTTGATTAGATTTCTCGTAAATATTCGAAAAAAATGTTTGGTAAAATTATGATGCAATTTAATGCTTTAATGTAACTTAAGTCATTTTGAATCGTCAATTGTATTTTTAAAAGCAGTTAAAACTTCTGCAGTTCTGCATTAAGAGTGTTTTTGGTGCATAATGTGATGTTTTAAAATTTTGCAATTTCGATTTGTTTGCCAACGACAAAAATTTTTGGTAAAAAAATTCAAATTTTAACCGTTAAAAATAAATTTTGGTAATTAAACTACCTTATGGCTATGTTGCAAATTGCAATGAGTTTTGTCAAATAAGATACCAAAATAGATATGAACACGGTTAAATACAAAAAAAATGTTTCAATGTCATGCTTAGATAAATTTCGAAAAAATTAAGCGTCTTTAGCAATAATTTAATTCAGATTTTTTAGGTATCTACGATGTAAAGCACAATATTTTTAACATGCTGAGAAATTTAATAATTGAATGTTTAAAAAAGTCAAAAAATATTTTGAGATTCGAACCTGAATGACAAAAATAAGAGAATTTTTGTATGAAATTTTTATAATTCACAAGTCAAAAAATACGTTTTTAGTCGGTCTTAGTCGCGGCTTTAGTCGACTTTAGCCGGGTTTAGTCGACTATAGCCGACTAAGGAAAAAACCGTTAATTCTTTAGTCGACTAAAGCCGACTAAAGCCGGCTTTAATTAGTGTCACAAGGTTTCTTGTAAAAGTATGGTGAAGTTTATGATGAAGTGTTTGCCCCTGTAGCTATAACAACAACTTTTCGAATTCTTATGTCTATTGCTGGTATTAATAATTATCAAGTCAATCATTTTGATATATCAAATAAAGCATTTCTTTATGGCAAAATTAAGGAGGAGATATGCATGAAGCAGTCATCTGGATAAACATCAAACCGTTGATCAAACAAGTTGAATAAAAGTTTTTATTGGTCTTCATGGTCTCAAACAAGCAGCTAGAGCATGAAACAACGTGTTTTGTGGAGCTCTTTCTGATTTCAGATTTAAACAAAATTATGTTGACAAATGTTTGTATAGCTTTAATGATAAAGAAAGTATTTTCTATCTGATTATTCATGTTGGCGATGTATTAGTAGTTTCTAATGACTTG